TGCCCAGGCAATCCCGGGATCATCAATTCCCACCACGCTTTCAGCTCCTCCCAACCCGGGAAAATTCATTTCCCAGCGCCTTCAGCCTGGATTTGGCTCATTCCTAAACATCATTTTCCCCCCCACAATGTGCAACTCAGCAATCTCCAGTAATATGTACTCAAACAAAAAACACAGTGATGTGATAAGAAACAAAACCAGGGCTTATCTATACTGCAACTTCCACCCCTCTTCTCACCAAAACAATTCATTAGCATTAGGAAACACAACTCTTACTCATCAGAAAAACCAAGTGTTCCTGCTCAGCGTCTGAAGCTCACAAAAGGACATTTTCCTGCTTCTGTTTAACAGTGATCCCTGTCTCACCTGAGTTTAAAAACAAACCCACGCGATTTTCTTCCCCGGGTTTAATTTGGAGTAAATTATAAACACTGGTAATATAAACACGCCGCAGAAGAGAAACCTAATTCTTTCACAGCTGGAACCCCCGAGTGAGAGAAACGAGCTGCTCGTTTGTGAAACGCTGCAAGTGGATGTAAATCTCTCAGATGCTTATATAGAAATAGTTCCAGAATATTCATCACGAATAAATGCATCAAAATCTGCACCTCTGTATAGGAAAAAAGATCAATCACAACGTAATTAAATCACGTGCCTGTCCCAGCAAAACTTGGTTGTAAAGAACAGACAGGCATGTTGCTCTGAACCATCTGAAATCCTGCAAATGTGTAAATAATCATTATTTCCAGTGGAATAGAGCCCAGAAGGTGCTGTGTGACCCCGGAGCACAGTGTGTCATAAGACCTGTGTGATTCCACCCAGCAAGTGTAAAACAGCAGCTCCGCCTCAGGGTTCAAACACCTTTCACAAGATGCACCCCAGCAAAAACCTGAGCTAGAAAAAGGCCCTGAGACACTCGAGCAACTGAGATGTCAGAAGTGAGGATGTAGAGACCCCTCCCCCCTGAAAAGTCCCTTTCAAAATACATCAAACTGATCACAGCAGTATTTGCTGTGAATTAAAGCTGTTTAGCTATTTCTCCAATATTTAATTTACTGCTATCTACAACAGCCTTGCCTAGGAGGGCTTTATATATCACCCCCCCAAAAAAACTACATTAAAGAATTATCTCTGCAATGCTGGAAGAAGGGCAACCCCATGACTGAAACCATCACTCCATGGCAATAATCTGAATAATCTATGAATAGCAGAATTTATAATCTTGCCTGGCTGATGCATCAAGCACTATGCTTATGTATTGCTTCCATCGTTTCATTTTGGAACTATTACATAATATATCAAATAGAGCCACATGTCAGTGCAGAGGAAACAAACCTCACTCTCACAGAAAAGCAACTTTTCAGGACAATGCTCCTTCGGTTTTACTGAAGTCTAAATCTAATCTCCTCAGTTATTTAAGCAGCCCACGAGCAGCTGGTTTGCCTGAACTCTTACAGCAATTTTCCACTGCCAGGTTTAAAAGAAAACATGATTTATCAAAGTAACAATAAGACTTAAAAATTAGCATTGATATTAAATGCAAACACAGCACTGCAAGGTAGACCTTCAAGACTGAGAAAACCAAATTAGTCTCCAATATTGCTTCATTAGTACCACAACGCTGTCCCTTTTAACTCCAATCCCAGATCCTAGCAGAGTTACTCCTTGGGAATTACTGGAAGCTTTGATCGCAGTGTATCAGACATAGTAAACAGGAAAAGAGAACAAAACTCCACGATGATAAAACGGATCGCTTTTAGTATCACCAGTCAGGTGAGTAAAACCAAGGAGGGAAGCACGGAGCCTCCTCTGACAGCTGTAACCTCGGAAAAGCCAATCCACGGGCACAGAGGTTTGGCTGAGGCGGAGACACGGATTCATTGAGGAAATTCGGGAGGGTGCCTTTACTATCGGCTCTGCCTGCAAGTACAGACACATCAGGCGACAGCCTCTGAGCTTATACAACCCCGAGGAGCACCAAATAAACCTCGTTCGGACAGAAAAGATGTTCAGAGACCCAGCACACTGGGAGGACACCGGAAAGCAAGCAAGCGTTTTCAAAGCTGTCCTACCGCTCACCAGAAACCCCGGAAACTCACATTTACCTAACTGCACAAAAGCTTTTCCCTCCCATAACACTACGGGAAGAACACACATCACATATCGAACCCGAACACGCGCCGGCTGACTTAGAAATAACACTTAAAGGTCCAGCACTTCACGCGAAGGGTCCAGCTGACGCCTCTGACACGCCGTGCACAGCGAGCGGCACAAAACATCGGTGTTAAATAACTCCGGGGGTGGCTACAAGTACGGAGACACTGCCTCACGCAGGGAGCCAAAGCTGCCCTGTCCTCCAGCCCCACATGTGCGGTGTGTGTGTGCCGGGCTGTTCCTGTCCCCTCCATCCCCTGACCGGTCACAGTGTGTGAGTGCCGGGCTGTCCCCTCCATCCCCTGACCGGTCACAGTGTGTGAGTGCCGGGCTGTCCCTGTCCTCTCCATCCCCTGACCGGTCACAGTGTGTGAGTGCCGGGCTGTCCTCTCCATCCCCTGACCAGTCACACTGTGTGAGTGCCGGGCTGTCCCCTCCATCCCCTGACCAGTCACAGTGTCTTTCCAAGCGCAGGGACTGACAGCCCAACACGCGGCACGGCCGCCGGGCTCGGCTGGAGGACTGGGACACATCCCGCTGTCCCTCCGACAGGGATCCGCGGGCAGGGATCCGCTCGCTCCCCGTGCGGTGCCACCGCAGAGCACGCTGCTCCCAGCAGTTCCACGCCGCCGCCTCCTCCCCGGCCCGAGCGAGTTGACAGCCACTCACAACAGGATCGGCTGAGAGTAGTATCGGCGTTAGTCCACCACGCCACGAGCGCTCGGAGCTGCTCCGGCACCGGGAGCCGCTCCGACACCTCGACCCGCTCCGACATCCCGCATCCCAAGCGGCTCCGACAGCCCGAGCCCCTCCACAGCTCCGGCACCTCGGGCTGTTCCGACACCCGAGCACCCCGAGCCGGCACCTCCGAGCAGCGGCTCGGCACCTCCGGCACCCCGAGCCGCTGTGCCGCCCCGACACCCCGAAGTGACACCCCGAAGTGACAGACACCCCGAGCCGCCCCGGCACTCCGCGCCCGCTCCAGCGCCCCGAGCTGTCCCGGCACCTCAGCTCCCTGCTCCGGCACCCCGCTCTGCAGCTCCACCGCTCCGGCATCCCGGCGAGCCGCTCCGGCACGACACCGCGCCGCCCCGGCATCCCGCGCCGCCCCGCAGCTCCGACGCCCGCAGTGCCGCCCGTGGCCCCGCGCTGTCCCGCACGGCCGCTCTCCCGGCGGCGGCTCGCCCCGCTGCGGCGGCCGGGACGCGCACAGAAGATGGCGGCCGGCGGCGCGGGCCCCGCTCGCGGCGCGGAGCGCGGCCGAGGCTGCGCCGTTTGCGCAGCGCCCCGCGCGCGGCGCGGCGGGCCGGGCGTAGCGCGCTTGGTGAATACGGGCCGGCGGCGCCCGCGCGGGGGGTGCCTGTAAACAATGGTGCCCCCCCTGCGCCGCGCTCCCTTACCGATTCCTCCTCCTTCTCCATCCCCGTGGGCATCTGCGGCACGGCCCGGTTGATGGAGACGCAGTCGTTGAGGTCGGGCATGTCCTTGCCGCGGTAGATGGGCAGCGGTTTGGCGGCGTCTAGCGCCCGGGCGCGGAAGGAGAGTTTGCTCATTGTCTCCCCCTCACAATAACACCCCGGGGCCGGGCGGGCGGGGGGGGGGGGGGCCTTCAGTGCGGCCTCGCCGCCGCCTCCCAGCCGCTCCCGCGCCGCGCCCGCGCCACCATGGAGGGTCCCGCCGCCCCGGCGCAGCTCCCGGCGGGGCCGCCCGTAGCTCGCCGCGCACGCCCCGCAGCCCTAGATCCGCGCCGGGCTCGCTCGGTCCGCTCCCTGCGCCATGGCAAACATGGCGGACATTAACCACGGCCGCCAGCCGTCCCGGCAGCCCGCGCGGCGGGAGCGGCGCTGCGCGCGCAGCCGAGGGCGGGAGGCTGAGGGAGCCTCGGGGAGCCTGAGGGGGGCGGCGGGACCGGGAGCGAGAGGAGAGCGGAGTGTCCGAACAGTGTCCCGAAACTGTCACCGCCGGGGCCCCGCAGTGTCCCGGGAGTGCCACCGCTGGGTCTGCACAGTGTCCGCACAGTATCCCCGCTGTCTCCCCACAGAGTCTCCACGGTGTCCCTGCCGTATCCCTACAGTGTCCCCACGATGTCCCCACATCGTCCCCACTGTCTCCCCACAATGTCCCTACAGTTTCTCCACAATATCCCCACCGTATCCCCTCTGCATCCCCATAGTGTCCCCACAGTGTCCCCGCTGTCTCCCCACACTGTCCCCAAAGCGTCCACACAACGTCCCTACAATGTCCCTACAGTGTCCCTATAGCGTCCCTGCCGTGTCCCTACAGTATCCTCTCCATGTCCCCACAGTGTCCCCATAGTACCTCCACAGTGTCCCCACTGTCTCCCTGCTGTGTCCCCACAGTGTCCACACAGCGCCTTCATGGTGTCCATGGCATGTCCCACAGTGTCCCCACTGTGTCCCCACATTTTCCCCACAGTGTCCCCTCTGTGTCTCCATAGCCCTACAGTATCCCCACTGTCTCCCCACCCTGTCCCTAAAGTGTCCATACAGTGTCCCCACAGTATCCCCACAGTGTCCCTACAGTCCCTGCCATGGCCCCACAGTATTCCCACCATGTCCCCACCGTGCCCCTGTTGTCTCTCTGCTGTCTCCCCACAGTGTCCCCACAGTGTCCCCTGCTCTCTGGACAAACCATCTGGTTCCTCTCCTCAGCTTGTCAGCTGGTGTGAACTTAAAGTGTTCCAACAATAAAAAGGGCTTGTCAGAAGAGCTGAGTGACTTAGAAACAAACTCGTGCTTGCACATTTCAATTATTTATTTATTTTCTCCACAGAATCACACAATATTTAGGTTTGGAAGGGACCTCTGGAGATCATCCAGTTTAACCAGAGGCACCCAGAGCAGGTGACACAGGAAAGCATCCAGGTGGGTTTGGAATGTGTCTGGAGAGGGAGACTCCACACCTTCCCTGGGCACCTATTCCAGTGCTTGGCTGCCCTAAATATAAAGAAGTTCTTCCTCATTTTGAAGTGGAACTTGTCATGTTTTAGTTTACTAAACTCACCTCCACCTCAGAGCTCTCACAGGAGTTGTCAGTGCAACCTTCTGCCTCTGAATCAAACCAAAACTCTTAGTCAAAGCTTAACCATTTGGATCACAGTGCCAGCTGTACCTAATATTCCATTTTTTAATTAGGAAAAATAGGTTTAGTCTCTAAATTGCCGTTCATTTTCACTTACTGGTTGCATTTTTTTATTTACATGGTTTTATACAGCAAATGCAACTATTGTTCTTGACAAACACATGATTTACAAAATGAAGAATAAAGAATTATGCCAGCTAGAGAGAGAGAGAAGGGAGATGAAACAAGCACAGTAATACACAGGAGGCAAAAAGAAAGAGCGAGAACATTACGTTCATCAGCCACGGACCCAAATTAGCTTGGGAAAGAGATGTGGAAATTGGATTAACTCCTATGAAAACATCAGGTAAATGTTCAGTAATAGTCATGTGAGCAAATGAAGCTTTAAAGGTGATGAGAAAACCAACAGAGAACAAAAGTGCTCATTTATAACTCCCTTTAAAATTTTCTATTCATACAGTTCTTGACTTGGATTAGGATGAAGCCATAAATGTTTAACAGTTGTATGGTTTCTAGCCTAGAATTTATAGCTCAGCACCATTTTAGAAGCGGCCAGAATGGGTCTGATACCCCTAAAGTGACTCATGATTAATTGGTAGCAGCAGAGGGTTGGCATTTTCAAAGAGCCATTGTGATGCCTTTCTGCATGAGCTGTATTTTCCATAAAAATTCCATTACCTGGAGTGTGTTACACCCCCGCTGCACAGGTGACATACATGTGGAAAGGTGAGGCAGCTGAGTGGAACAGGCAGTTCCTCCTGAAGTACTTCCTTGAGTAGTTGAAAGACAGAAAGAACTTTCCTCTTTCTGCTTCTCTGCAAGAAAGAGGCATTTTACACACTGCTTTAAGATTTGTTTCCCCTTTCAGTCAGCACAGCTGAACAATAGATAATAATAGCCTTCTCCCTTTGTGTGCATGTTCTGTTCTTTTTCACTGCTTAAAAAATAAAATAAAAAAAAAAAAGAACAAAAATGAAACATATTTACCCTCAAGGTGGCTCTTAGTCCTAAAACTCATCCCATTATTTTATTTCTACAAGCAATGCAATTTTTTTTAAATGGTGCCCTGTAGGATAAAGAGGGGTTTTTTTATGTAGTCAAAAAAGCCATTGCACAGAGCTGAACATGGGCAAAACTAAAGTTTCAGCTTACATTAGTTTAGCTTTAAGCCAGAACCATCAATCTTTTAAGTGCATAATCTGATCTCTTCCTCTGGTAAAATATTACAGGTTTTCTGAAGAGTTTTAGCTGTGAAAAAATCATGAGCTGTACCTCACCTGTAGACAAAATAAGTTATTTTTGATGCACAGATCAGGGAAACCACGTCTCAAACGAAATTGTTTGTTCAGCAGTTGAATTCTGACTTGTCTTTGTGTTTTCTGTAGAGATAATGGAGTTGAATGTGCACATTTGAGCACTGGATAGACTGAAACCCCCCAGATTTCACTTGAGCACCTGTATCAGTGGAAATGTCAGAGTCATATAGGCTCGGGGGCTTTTGGTTCTGCTTCTCCACAGTGACATTTAGCACAAAGAATCCTTGTTCTCACCGTAGCTGCCTGAAGCCTGGTGGTCTTTTCTGCAAATGCATCCTGTTTCGTTGTTGTTGTTGTTTCTGTTGTTTGTTTTTTGGGTGATTTTTCCTCTCACTGCATTAATCTTCTCCAAGCACGAGCATCACTTATAGACAATTATCTCTGTGCACATTATTGCAACATGACATGGCATGAGCAGTTCTATGCTCTGTATTGTCACCTTATAAGTACAAGAAGTATTAAAAAAAAAAAAGGGCACAGAAAATACAGAAACAGAGAGTCCAGAAGTGTTTTTGGCCCCTGACAATGCACGGGGTTGTTGAGCCTTGTGGGGTGTTCAACACCTTGATTGATTGCAGGGTGTTAAAAGACAAAATGGAATTTTTAGGGTGCTAATGATTTGACTGTAAATACACAAAAATAATCAAGATAGTAAGTGTTCAGAAGAATTGTCTTCTGCTCCATGCCAGCTCCAGACTCAGAGGATGCAATTAGGGAAGTGATGCTGATGAATCCACGCTCTCAAATATTCCTGGTGTTGCTGCCATTGTACATCCCAGATTCCAGCCTTATTATTGAGGGATTTGATCTCATGTTTAAGGAAATCTTCACTAGAAGGGAGCCTAAAAGTGTCCAGGAGGCTGGCTTAGTAACTCCAGCACAAGAGAAAGTGCTGAGCTTTCCAGGAGATCCATGAATGGACTAGGGGAGTCTTTTTAAAGGTTATGAAGTCCTTCTTTCTCCTCGTGTCTGAGAACTCTGATTGAAGTGAAAGGAACCTCTGTCCTATTCATTTCAAAGGGGGTTTTGTCAGGAAAAAAGAGCTTGATCAAAGTAGCTAGTAAGCATGCTTAGTGGCTAATGTTCACAGTTAATGCATCATTCCAAACCATTTCTATTTCCAATTATTCCAAGAGTTGAGGGAACTGGCAGCCTGCACATTTTCCTCTTTAAGGTCACCAAAAAAAACCTATCAGCCAAAACCTGCAATCTAGAGTGGAATAGCTTCCTGGGAGATGGAAAGCTCTGAATGGAAATTATAAAAAGTTGAAAATGGAGTTAAAATCTCGAGCCCGACGGCAACAGACACCAAATAAAACGAAATAAAAGGGCAGCTCTGGAAATGGCTGATTCCCCACGTTATAGCAGGAAGGTAACGTGATGAAAAGCAGCAGGAAGCTCCTGATTTGAAAGTTTTGTATCAGGACTATTTGTGTCAAGAAATAGGTTTAAAATGAAAGGGAATTGTGCTTTCTGTGTGAGGGTTACCACAGGCACGGGAGGGCCGGCAGCTCTCTAAAGGAACCTGCTGCAGCTGCTTCCTGTGCTGGAAAATCTCGGATTCCCACTCAAAAAATCAACCTGCTCTTGACTCTAACTGTGTTACCAACAATGCAATTGTGAAACCAGATTCATTTGCTTTGGAATTATCAAGTAAAGCCATTAAGCACCTGTACGAGTGCAGCCCAAAACCACATAAATCTGGGGGTTTACCACAGGAAAAATGTAACTTTACAGTGCAGTGACCAGTGAAGAGGAAAAACATGCTTGTGCCTGGAACCAGAAATATACTGTTAAAAGCAGTACATAATAAGGACTGTATTTATGGCCTTAAGTTTTGGAAAATAGGCCTTAAAGAGAGAGAGATTTATCAACTGTCATTTAGAAAGTCCTAGCAGAGAAAAATCACGAAAACCAGTTTTACAAAGGTATAGAAATTTATCCCAAAATCTCACACTTCAGGAGGCAAACTCGAGACATTAATTTATTTATTTATTGGAATTTTGAGGAGCTGGGAGCTCCCCTGGCTTGTATGAAAAAATTAAAAATCAAACCCCATCCTGCCACTTAAAATATCGATGAAGTCAGAATAATGGGGCATTGAAAACTGTTACAATGTTTATTCAGAGTTCACAAGTCAGAGTGAAGGACTCACCCTAAAGAGGACTTCAAAAACCTCTGCCCCAGCAGTAAGAGATGCTCCCTTTCCTCCTCAGACCTTCATAGTTCTGCTGCATTTCAGCACAAGGGTAGAAGTGGGGCTGCTTTCTAAAAATAAATCTGTAGGCAACTTTAAAATCATAGAATCACAGACTGGTTTGGGTTGGAAGGGACGTTAAAGATCATTTAATTCCACGGGCAGGGACACTTTTCACTAGATAAAACCAAGAAATCAGGAAATATGCCAAGTGTCACTTTCTAAAATACTCTAAAGCCACATTCTTACCTGAAAACCCAACAAACCCACCTTGATAATTGCTGTCTTCTGAGTTAGTGCCCTGGATAGAACAGTTTTTCTTACTGATTAGTAATGGCAACATTTTCCCTGCCCACCTTTCTCTGAGGTTGATACCATGGGCTGATCTGGAGTAGCAGCACTCACTGGAGCAGGAATATTCAATGGAGATTCCAAGAAAATCCAAACCTTGCATGGGCATAGCCCAAGGCTTCCCAAGGTGTCCAGGCAAATGCTTTTCTGCCCACAAAACTTGACCTTCTCTAGCAGGGTTTGTTCCTTTATCTGCAAATACCAGACCTTTATCATCACATCTCAGTCTTTTTTTTCCCTTTTTAATCTCTAAAGTCCTCCCACAACCCCTTAAAACCCAAATATGTCCCCAGTGCTTCTCTCCAACCAGGGCAGAACCATTTCCCGCTGCAGAAATGACCCAGGTCTCCTCAAAGCAGTTCCCCTGGTGTCAGCCAGGAGGTGTTTCCCCAGGAGGGAAAGATTTTACTTTTATCTCTCTGATGCAAATCAGAGGGAAGTTTATTGTCACTTGTATGGGAGCAGTGTCATCCTGTGACATTTTTCTGCAAAATGGGGCTGAAAGCCATCACAGAAAAACAAGAGTCTCTCAGCAACGTTGCCGTGCACCAAGAAACAGAAATATTACCTCGGTTGCAAGAGGAGTCAAAAGGAAAATGAAAGTGTTACGTTGGAAACAAACAGCGGTGATCCTGTTTTTGTAGTACTCAGGGCACACATTTGTAATAACAAAAGGAAGTTTTTAGTCCTGGTTGTAAGTTATGCAATCAACATGCAGATTTAAAGATGTATTCAAGCTTCACATTCCTGTACTTCCTTGTCAAATAGGCTTTTTTTAAGAAAACAGTACAAAAAAAGACACTTTCATTATGCAGACATCAGTCATAGCAAAGCTGATACCGTATTCCCACTTCCAAATTGCCTGTTCATTGAAATCTCCTGCTCCACATGCAATCAGATCTCCATAAATACACAAGTGCTTTACAAGAGCTGCTCCAGCAAGGTCACACCTTTACACCAGCTCTTGCTTCCTCAGGAACAACAGTGCTCAGCTCAGGAATCTCCTCTGCTGCACCAGCACCAAACACATCCTGGGATCGTGGCAGCTGGACATGGGGGACTGCTGAGTGGTGGTGAGTGAGAATCTCATCCTGGGCTGGGGTTTTGAGCATGAGAAGCCTATTTTTATTTTCCAGACCTGGTGGCCACTTTCATACCATTAAAAAGTGTGAACAGTCAGTCCTCAAGAAAGTGATTGGGATCCAGAGGTTGCTTCTTGCTTCTTTCTTGGTTTCTTTTAGGTTGGACATCAGGAGGAAATTCTCATGGAAAGGCTGGTCAGGCCTTGGCAGGGGCTGCCCAGGGAGGTTTGGAGTGCCCAGCCCTGGAGGTGTCCCAGGAAGGCCTGGCCGTGGCACTCAGTGCTCTGGGCTGGGGGACAAGGGGGGCATCGGGCACAGGGGGATCCATGGGCTGGGAGGGCTTTTCCAACCTCAGGGATTCTGAATTCTTAAATAAGAGACTGATGATTCCACATTGCTCCCTGAAAAGATGGGAGAGGTTTGCCTGTTATCACATGCAGCTATTTCACTCTTGTGCTTTTGGTTCACAGTCAAACTCTGTGGAAGGAGGAGCAGTGAGTTTATTTTGGAAGCTGGAGATGGGCTTTTGGCAAAGGCACGGAGTGACAGGACAAGGGGGAATGGCTTTCCACTGCCAGAGGGCAGGGTTAGGTTGGATATTGGGAAGGAATTCCTGGCTGGGAGGGTGGGGAGGCCCTGGCCCAGGTTGCCCAGAGAAGCTGTGGCTGCCCCTGGATCCCTGGAAGTGTTCAAGGCCAGGCTGGATGGGACTTGGAGTTGAGGAAAGGCCAGTTTGGAGCACACGCCAGCCCAGTGCCGAGAGAGCTGAGTCATCAGGAAAAGGGAAGTTTGGGGCCTGCACAGCCCCTCAGGCTCCCTCACTGTGTGAATGGAGCCAGGCACGCCTTGGGGAGCCTCTGTCTCACCTCAGATTGGTCTTAGAGGATATTTTCACACAGCTGAGTCTAACTGTGTCTTCCTCTAAGGCTGAACTTGAAGCTGGATATGTAGGAGCCTCCTCTGTGTGTCCCAGACTCAGGTCTGGAGCACAGACAGAGCAGGACCCTCTCACAACATTTCTCTGAAGTTCACTAAAAAAAAAAGGAAGAAAAGAGTGAAAAGTGAGAACTGATTTGTGGGCACGGGATAGAGCAGACAGGGAAAGAGGACACTGCTGGAAGTGAGGGAAAGGTGATGCCTTCAAACTCTTGAGTGTTCACACGTGAGCCTTGGACGCTTGAAAATTAAAATTATGGATAATTCAGGGTAGCAATAGGATGAGAGGTCAGAGTCTTAAGCTGCACCAGGGGAGGTTCAGGTTGGACATCAGGAGGAATTTCTTCACAGAAAGGGTGATTAAATATTGGAATGGATCCAGGGAGGTGGTAGAGTCTTCACCCCTGGAGGTGTCCAAGGAAGGACTGGACGTGGCCCTCAGTGCTCTGGGCTGGGGGACAAGGTGGGGATGGGGCACAGGGGGGACTCGATGATCTCAGAGGTCTTTTCCAACCAAATTGATTCTGTGCTTCTATAACTCTGTAATATTTGTGGAATATTTGTGGTTCCTGGGTAGAAGCCTTCTCAGGGCATGCAAACACCCAACTTCCAGTGAACCCAGGTGATCAGGGAAGAGGCTGGATTTACCAGAAAGCCAGTGCAGAGAGGAGCAGCATCAGCTGAAAACAACTTGGAAGTCTAAGAGAACATAAGAGGAGACCAAACCACGGGGGACCGTTTCTGAAGCACCTGCACAAGTGTTGTTAAACCTTATAGAAAAGCAGTTGTCACCATTTCCCTTTCTGTCCAGGTCACCCCACGATGAGCCAATGCAAGACCAACTCCTGGCCCACTTTACTCCTCAGCACTGAGCCTTTGGGGGCTCCAGCAACCTTTGTGCAAGACATCCCACGCCTGCTCGTGGGAAAATCAGGGAATGACGGGGGCATGACGGGAGTTTCTAACCCTGAAATCCTAAATAATGCCCACGAGATTACAAATCAGGACACTGGTGCTTCTGGCTGCTCCAGGTGTGGCAAAAATGCTCTCAGACAAAAGAACGGCTGGGTTTGGGAATGTTCCTGCAAGTACCCGAGCAGTGTCACCAATTAATCATTCTTGGAAACAAAGGAGAAATAAAGGAGTGGAAAATAATGCCGTTATATAATAGGAAAATTACATCAGAGTTTCAGTATAAAACTTCAATTGAAGAAATACAATAGTTTTTTTTTCAAGGAGCCCAAATTAATCCATTCCCATTTTCCCCCAAGAATTCGGTGGTTGGTTAAGGAATTTCTTTTGCACAATTCTCTCTTGATTTTAAACACACAGACATTTCGTGAGCTTTTCCTGAAGTCACAGGTTAATCCTTCGGAGGAAAATGATCCATAAATCCTAGGAGTGTCAAGGAGTTGTAATCCCAACCTGTCTGGATTATCCAAACTACATTTGTAAGGTGCCAAGTTTAAGAAAACACTGCCCTCGTGTCACCTGGGACATATGAAAATATTCCAACTTGGGTAGTTATGGTTCCATCCCCAGCTTCCCTTTCCTGCTGGCACCTCTTTAATGACAGGTTTTGTTCTGCTCCGTTGCCAGTTGGAAAGGGAACAGGTTCTCCCTCTGACAGGGCAACCACAACAAGGAGCTGTAGGTCTTGGCACAGGGTTGGGGTTATTAATTTGCTGAGGAACAGCTCCTCCATCCCACTGAGGGCAGAGCCTTGGTCATGCTTAACCAGCACCTCTAAAGCTTTTCCTTTTCTCCAGCTGGGAATGAGAGTGGAGCCGTTGTCTCTACGGCATCAGGAGATGGGATGATAATTTTCCCAATGGATCCTGCTGTGGTTTGGCTGTGATTTGCCAGTCTTATTCCTGCATTTGGCCTATTCCCATGGGCACATCATTGTCCAGGATGTGCTTTGAATATATTAAATAGAATTATTTAATCTTTCTTTAACCATACCTGTAGTCTGTCAGCAAATGCATTTCCAGAGTCATTTCACTGCAATGGTGTAGGAGCTGGAGCTCTGGATGGATCCAACCAAACCCCGTTCCCATCTGCCATGGGATTTATAACCCGATCCTCCACCTCCGTTCCTGCCCTTCCTTTCAGCATAATTCCACAGGTGTTCTGGTCTAACTATTTTTGGAAATGGTTTTATTTGCATTACCTATTTTGTGTTTAGTTTTAAAATTCTAATTTCAGCTACATTCCTGTTCTTGCTCAGGGCAGAATGGCCCCGTTAACGTAAAGAGCCATATGGTGGCAGCTGAAAAGATTCAGTGCAAATTTGATACTGGCATGAGGATCAAAAATATCAAAAAATCCTCGGGAAAGGTGGATTTGGTGTCAGCAGTGGCAGAGCAGAGGCTGTGGTGATGCTGAGCCCTGTAGGTGGTGGTGGGCAGGGGTTTTGTTACTCCAAAGGCTCCCAAAAGTCAGGATTTAAAATTAATTTATAAATAGACTTGACAAAACAAGTTTAATGTCAGGTAGCTCCTTTAGGTCTGCTGCTGACAACGTAAGTTCGTATTTTCCCCCAGAATTAACAGAATTTTTCATTCTCTGGTTTTGCTTTGACAAGTTTTCAGTATAAATCTTATCTATGTAAATCTTACGTGCAACCTTTCCAGAATATATTCAAAAAAATATCTGCTTTAAGCAAGGGCTTAATTTAAGCCTGACATGTGATTTGCTAAACAAACTTATGACTAAGGCAACACCGAGTTTGTTCAGTAGGACCAAAATTTGCTCCAGAGTGAATCATCAATGAGTAAGAGTGATGCTATCTGGAGTTTTGATCTAAGCACAGATTTGAATAATGACCTGGATTTTTTGGAAGAGCAGCTAACTAAGCAAGAAAAGGGGGGGGGGGGAAATCTGTGAAGAATTCTGTGGTTGATATCACTACCTATTTTCAGCTGTATGAGTCAGGGAGCCATCACATGGATCTGCACAGAAATATCAAAGCAAATCCCACTTCAAACCCACACCACTTCCCAATATATACCCTCACTCATCGATCCCAAAAGCCAGGGAACATCTATCTGGCTGAAATAAAAGCCAGAGAGATCAGAGCTACAGCAACAATGAACTTTCTTAAAACAAAGCCTCTAATTTTCTGTGCAGCTCCTGCCTCTGCTGATTTGCAGCCGAACCAAGAAGGAACAGGCAGTCAAAAAGTGCATCTTGCTGAGCTCAGTAAGTGGAGTCTTCACTCTCTGCAGAGACCCAGGGAGGAAAACTGTGTGTCAAAACTGCCCAAAAAAATTGTCTAGGTGGACAGAGATGGCACCTCGTGCAAATATTCCTTAATAACAATGATTGAAAGAGCTACAGCTGTCACACAGGGCCTAAAACCCAATGTATTTCTCCAATATTAGAAGCTTATTGGGATCTAAATATGAGATACCTCTGGATCCACGGGAGGAACATCATCTGGAGTCGTTCATATCATGAAACATGAAGCCAATTACGGTGCTGGAGAAGAAAACATAACTCAATCTGTTACAGAATATTTCGGCAGAATCCCATCCTAGGAGAAGATGAAGCTTTGACAGACTTTCTCTTTTTTTTTTTTTTCCAGAATATTCTGAAATGTTTTGCAAGTTGCTGCCAGATGTAAAAAGAAATTAAAAGAAGGATTTAGGCAATAGTTTAATGTGATACTCAGAATGGCAATGCCGGAAGATGAAAAAACACATTGTTTTGGACTTTTATTTCTTTTATTCACCAATAGATTTGTAAGTCCTACCATCGTTGGACACCCTGCTCTTCTCCTATAGGTTATAAACCCCTATAACTCAAGATTATTAGGATCTCCCCACTGTAAAGAGGATTTAGCTGTGGATTAACAAGCAAATGAAGAGGAGAAGTGGAAAAGGACACCGGGTTGTCTCGTGAGTCGACAATGTGGTGGTCGGTCAGTGATTGACCTCGATGATCCTGGAGGTCTTTTCCAACCCTAATGATTCTGGGATTCTCTGGTTCTCCCTTAAGCTTGTGCTGGGAGCCAGACTAACCAGAGCTGGTGATCAGGAAACAATCAAACA